GCCTGACATTAAGTGCGGGGGACACTTCCAGACCCGACTCTGTGATGGACCCATCGTCTTCCCTTTTCGCAGGTGTTTACTACCATTAGCTGTTTGGCCCTGTCATGTTGTATGTAATAACTAAAACATATTGACACAGCAGTTTGATGATCTGTCTCTTCATGATAAAATACTGGAAACTGAAATAATTAATAAGGGAGAGCTGGGAGAGAAAGATGGGCAGTTCTTAAGCATATTCTTTCCTCAAATTGCTTTGAACTATCTACTGTTGAGAAACTCATGTCTTCTGAGGTCTCTGGGGCTGTTAGCCTCTCCCCACCAATCTCCAATGTCTTTATCTTCACTTTTCTCCATGCTAGTGAGCATCTGACCCAACTGACTCATTGTAGCCCCTGCCACCTTTTTTTGTTATCTGTAACTTCCCTTTTCAGCAGTGAGAGACCATCAGCCACCACTCTTTGTTCCTCTTATTCTATCCCAAGGTCATGTGTATCAGTTTTAGGACTAACTATACCCTGAGTAAAGCCACACACTTGATGCTTCTTTTCATTTCATCTTTCCTTCCTCTTGTCATTCATCTTACCGTCCAAAAGGAAGAGCTCTGGTTCCATCCAGTGTAAACTCTGTGTAGCAAGAGAATAATAAGGTGCCTTGTAGGAAACACGGGACAAGGATAGCCCTTGGCTTCTTTGGCAACCATGCCCAGTCTTATTTGTGACGGCTGCTAACACTTTCTCCATCACTCGCACTTGCTGTCCGCTTGGTCTTGTACCCAAAACCTGGATGAATGTCCCTGTGGGTGATACTAAGCCTAAGCCAGTAGTTCAGTTGGGAGTGAGGCTTCACTTTAGTGCAGGAAGGAAGTCTTTCCGAAGCTCTGTTCTGTTTCTACGCCTTCTGTCCCGGGGTCTTTAGAGTGACAGAATTCCAATGAAAGTGTAAAAACTGAACAGAAATTTAAAATATACAGTGACAATTACATTATCTTAGCATTATAAACTGCAAACAACCAAAGCAAATGACCTAGAAACTCAATTTGAAGGTTTGTTTTCCTTCAAGTTCTTGGTTTTCAAATGTCAGCTGTCATTGAATGGTGCCTTTTTTTTTTTTTTTAAAGATTTATTTATTTTATTCATACAGAACTGGGGTACAGGCCAGAGATGTGGAGGGTGAGAGAATTCACCAGGGACAGAGTGGGGAGCAGAGCAGGCAGATTAAGAAGTACACTGCTGAGGGGAGCAGTGGGCGGGTCAGGAGAGGTCTGCCTCGCCATGTGGTCACCTCTGGGGCAGGCGGGGATCGAACTCATGCAGAAGTGGCTTTAGCTTCTCAGTGCTGTGCTTTAACCCACTGCGCCACCAGGGAGGGCCTGAATGGTGCCCTTTAAATGGCCCTGCTCTTCTTTGATCCAGTAAATGCCTATGAATAATAATATAGGCAGTACTATATTCTTCTTATATGATTTATAATATTATAAGTTACTGTCTAGCAGAGAATTATTAAGGCTGTTATTAAACTTCATGTGATTTCTCTCATTTTTGGTATTATTAGTCTTCAAAATGTATTTTTATTAACCAACAGATATTTTGGAATACCGTATATCTTGAGGAAAATTGAAACCAACTTTGCCATTTGCTTTTTTTTTTTTCCATAATGGCTGTCAACTTCTATAGAATCAGTAGTAAGATTTTTTTTTACTAAGGTTCTCTTCTAAATGATCTTTTAGGTATAGAAGGTGTGAAGTGGCCTCTCTGTCACATTTGTCTTGCTGTCTCAGTGACTGAAATAATTATCTATGGAGAAAAATCTAAAATCGATATTGGAGCACATCACATTAACTGTCAAATAATATAAAAATCTTACAAACTCTCCAATGAAGTAGATAGATTTAATTTTCCAAGAATCCTTCTCATTCAGTTCTCAGACGGCATAAGGAAGACTGTCCAAATCTATCATTTATTTAATATAATTGTCTTGCCTCATTTATTTTTGGGTTCGGTGGTCATATTTGCACTGTGACTGCCGAATGGATAAAATCCTGTTTAAATACTAAATAAAACCTGCCCTTATTCTCTGAGTTCCTCCCAATTGGTGGGGGGTGTGTGTGGGTGGGAAAATTGACTGAGTTGTGTCATTTAAAATATCTGCATGCAAACAGCTAAAGACTGTATTTCAAAATATTTAAATATTTTGATAATATTTAAAACTGTTTACCAAGTAGGAAAACCAAAGTTTTGGGATGAACAGCAGATCACTCTTGATGGCATGAAAGAGAACCAAAAGTAGCATTTAAAAGAGTTAGGAAATTTAGCCTTTCAGCTGGGGTTTATGTGGCAATTTGTTCTTATCTGCAGAATTTCCTAGACTTGTGAAAAAATTGTTGGAAAGTTGCAAATGGATTTTAATGATAGATTGATCCAAAAAAAAATGAAAATGATAGATACATCACTTATGCTGGTAATAGGTGCTGGAGGGAAGAAAGCTAAGGCTCTGGCCATACTACTCAAAAGTTGGGGACAGTCCCCTTCCTGTCCATGACTTAAGAGAAGTGCAATGACAGTTTGATCATCTGTGCCAGTATATAGTTTCTTACTGCAAAGGTGGCTTTCTGTAGTAGCCCAACCATTAGAAAATTAAAGTTGGGTGTACTCAGTCAGGGGAAAAAATATATGTATATTGGGGGAGAGGGTGCTTATGTGTTTTGGAAAAGAGTATTCTCTTCCCCACAGGCACTCGGCTAGGCACCTTCCAGAGCAGAGAAACAGACTAGAACCATAAATGCATTATTAAGAAAGATAATGGCAAGTTATTTTTTTTAAGATTTATTTATTTATGCATACAGAACTGGGGTACAGGCCAGAGGTGCAGGGGTGGTGAGAGGATTCACCAGAGACAAGAGTAGGGAGCAGAACAGGCTGATGGACGAAGTACACTGCTGAGAGGAGTAGCAGGCTGGTCAGGAGAGGTCTGCCACTCCAGGTGGGTCACCTCCCTGGCAGGGGATCGAACTCATGCAGAAGTGGTTGTGGCTCGAATAGTTTCATAGTGCTGTGCTTTAACTCCTTGTGCCACTAGGGAGGGCCAAGTTATTATTTTTTTTAATGCAGTTATGAATTTAATATTAAAGTCTTGTTTTTTTTTTTTCACTCAACTTCCTCATGCATTCTCCCCATTTGTCACCTAAGGCATTATTTAAGTTTTGGTTTTGTTTATTTTTGATTTCATGAGAAAAGTAGACTTGCCCAAGGTTGGGAGCAAAAGTAGAATTTTATGGAGTGTTGGAAAACTGGGTATGTAGCTTGAGTGAAAATGAGAACTGATTTGTGCCTACAGCTTTGAAAGTGAATATGAAATGGAAACTTGAGTTCCATGTCTGTAAGCCAAGCCCTCTATAGTTCACAACATTGAAACTTCAAAATTAAGCCCTTCGGCAGGCAGAATCAATGAAGAAGAAACACACTGGGTTCCTCCCTTGTTCAAGGAAGGCAGCTGCATTGGAGGGACCGTGAAGTAAATCGGGCATTTACTTTTTGATCCTGGCTGACCTTTGCCATCTGTGCCTGGGGCCTGAGGTCCCAGGCTGGACTACTTTCTTGTCACCTTGTAGTCTCCCTATTATATTAAGAAGAATACCAAGTTATATGTCTGCTCCATCTTCCTAGAAGCAGAAGTCCTGGACAATCCATTTTTGTATTGTTTTGTCTTCTGCTATATTGTTACTAAAGTTTTGAAGGTGGAAGAATTTGACAGTTAACCACCCCTTCCCCATTCAACACTTAACATTTTTACTCTATTTTATTTTATTGTATTTTTATCCATCTGCCCATTTATTAATGTACATGGACATTAGTACACTTCATCCCTAAGGACATCAGCAGTCCTTCATTGGACTTCACCATTCATCTCACTAAGGGATGGATTAAACAAAAATCAGATACATCATATTTAAATACCACTTGATGAGTTTTTGTATAATCCATCCCTTAGTGAGATGATTCCTATCACGTCTAGAGTTCCCTCAAGCCCCTTCTCAGTTAAGTCACACCTCCACCTCATTCTAAGAAGCAACAACTGTTCTGACAATTTTTTGCCATTAATTTTTTTTGCCACTTTTAAAACTGCATATAAATAGAATGACACCATATGTAGCTCTTGTGGATGGCTTTCTCCAGCATAGGTTAAAGACACTTTAATGGTTCTCTCTTCCTCTCTGTCCCCCTCCTAATTCATAGATCGGTGCCATTGATGGCCCATCTGCACTGCTTCAGGTGTGTGCCCACTACCGTTTGACATTGGGTAGCTGAGGTAGTATAAGCCATTGCTGTCATCCTTCTGTTTTGAACACAGTACAGGGCAGGACAACCTAAGGTTTTGGGTCTTTCTACTCATTCATGAAATGTCTAAGGCACATTATGATATGTGCTAGAACACACAGTACCCACATTTTCCACATTTCTTGTCATTCGTGTTAGTTATAAGTTTATTGGAAGCTGAAAACTTTTTTGTAATAGGGGTAAAAGTTACTTTTAGCATTGTAAAGATTACAATTTAGCTTCTTGGCACTAAGTTTTATTTTGTGAAGGAGAAACCATGGTTTTAGCTACATCATAACTGTAATATTTATTACTGAGAATGCCAAACTAGCCTCTGGAGGAACATCCTATTTCAGGAATACTTAGAATACTCTATTTTCCTGCACAAAATATTGATGTTGCTGCAGATGGATTCAGCTGTGTTTGGCAGGCCTTTATTTGTCTGGCCCTACCTATTATGTAAGTCTCTTGCTTTTCAATTTCCCCAAAATGATTACCTAAGGGGACTATAATTTCTGATTGATTGGTTTACTGATTGCTATCAGGAAAGTTCTGCCAGCTAGGAAATGGGACAAAATAAACTTTATGTGATATTACAATTAAAGTGGGTATGTTTACTGCTAGTAATGCAGGAAAGAGATCATGTGATTTCAAGCTTTTATGACAACTTTTTATTTTTCTTTGTAGTTGATGGACTGGACAAAGCTTCTATAGCAAACTCAGATGGACCAACAGCAGGTTCCCAAACACCTCCCTTCAAGAGAAAGGGGAAACTGTCCACCATTGGTAAAATCTTTAAGCCATGGAAATGGAGGAAAAAGAAGACCAGTGACAAATTTAGAGAAACCTCAGCAGGTATGACTACCATCACTTTGTAGAAGAGAATGATTGCCAAATTTTTCAAAAGATAGCAAAATATGCTTTGCAGGGTTGTTTTTTTCCCCCATCCCCATTTGAAGCACCCTTGTTTTATTGAAGAATGAAACAACTTAGACGGTTCTCATCTACCTTCTTTTTCTACTCACTTGAACTTCTGAATATATTCTAGTAAATTCATATACAAATGTGCCATGTAAGAAGAAGGAATTTAAAATAAATGTTGCAGCTACACAGAGCTGTTTATACACTCACCCATACACATGTATACTCATACCTAGCTATGTGCCTAATTTGAGTAGCCCTTGCCTAATTGTTAAATACAAAACTTTAAGGTGTCTTTTGAAATGTCTTTATTCCATGGAAAGATTTGAAAGGCCGTATGAATGGAAAGAGCTGCCATATTTGTTACTTAAATTTTCATTATGCCCCATATCCTAAAATCTGTATAGATGGTTGTTATAACTGTTGTTAAGAACATTTTTGATTATTTAACATTGTTAAGCCTTAGTTAGTGCCTTTCATCTGGACTCATGGAGGAAGTTGGCTTTCAATTAAACACGGGCCCTATGCCAGTAGTATTTTGTTTAAGATAAAAAGGTTTGTCTCTTGTTCAGCTTTCTCTATGCTAACTGTCCAAATTAATCCCTTCATCAAAATTCTCTGCGCACCACAGTCTAATATTGGCATGTAAGTACAGGGACACAGAGCACATCTTGCATATCTTACTGGTCTTTGCTGAGGTCAGAGCAGGCCTTAGTCAAAGACAAGATAGCACACAGCACAAGGGTCTGAAAAGTCAACACCAATACGGCTGAGGCACTTGAAGCTTTTGATTTCTTTAAGCATTTAATATTTTAAAAGAAATAATGCGACATCAAAGACATTTCCAAATAATCCTGGAGGAGGGTGAGTATAAATGAAAGAAGACTGGTCATGAATGAGTAATCCTTTAAGCTAGGTAGTGGGTACATGGGGATTATTCTCTTCATCTCTCTACTTACAGATGTTGGGACATTTACACAATAAAAAGATATGAAAAAAAGGGAAAGAGATTAGACTTAGGGGTACATAACTTGGAAGTACATAACTTGGATATTGATGTCTCTTTCGTGCCTAATTGGCTTCTTGGGCCAGGAGGTGGTGGGAAGTGGTGTATGCTGCTGTTGAGTGAGGACACCTCAATTCAGCTGAACCGGCGGAGTAGTGAGTTGCTTTCGGTTCAGATTCTGTTAGTTCTCGACTCCTTCCAAGCCTGGCTTTATATCATGTTTGCCTTGTTCTTCAGTTCTGAGTGGGATCACACTGGCCTCCTTAACTGCTTCCCTCTCCTGGCTCCCTGAGCAGGGGAGATCTGCTCTTCCAGTTCCATGCATACCCACTGGGAGGAGAACGTGGTCAGTATCACTAAGAGGAGACTGAAAAGGATGGACAGAAACCTCTGTGGTCATCTCCCTTACCCTAACTCCTCTTCCCCTACAGTAGAAAACTACAGTGATAAAGATCTTCCCCTTTATCTTTCCTAGCCCACCTCTTTTTAATTCTCTTAGCAGTAGAGAGACTGTAACATATTTCCACCAAGTCAGGTCAGGTAATAAAAGTCGTTTGGAACAGCCTTAAGTGCTGTTTTATGTTACTCCATATTTCTTGATAGCTTAGCCTTTAAATTCCCTGTTTCCTTCTCAAATTCAAAAAGGATTTTTAGATAAGTTTAGTTAACAGATTCTGGTGATTACTACACCCCTGTTCCTAGAGACTTACATATTATAAGAAAAACCTGAAGAAGTTATTCATTGCTGCATTTTTGGACCATAAAATTGCAAAGCAATAGGATAATTCAAGCCAGGAAAATGTATTTGCAATTCCTTGGGAATTTGTCAGCGCCATGCCCATGTGTCGTGTCTTTGGAAAGCCTTATTATTATTAATGTTGCACTTGAGTTTCATAAGATGCTATTAACTGTCCCATCGTAAAGCATTTTATCATCACAGATACATATGTTTATTTTAAGGCTGATTTTATATTTCTGCTGAGCTTTGTGGATTGTATCAGCAGAGACTAAAATAGAGAGGCTGAAATGGTGGATTAGTTGTTTTCTTCACATTGAGTAAAAGATGTCACATCTAGAAGAAAATGGATGTACTTGGAAATAACCAAGGAAAGGTGTTTTCTTCTTTAATGAATTATCTCAAGGTGTGAATTCTAGCTGTTTCTGTTGGGCCAAGGTCATGTGCTGTTTGGCAAACTCTAAATGCCTTGGGTATGACCCATGGTATTTTGGTATATGAAAGAACATGAATTTCTTCTAGGAAGAATAACTATTTTTCCTTCTCTTAAACCTTCTGGCTTTAAGTACACATGTACATGAATCTTGCTATGTTTTACAGTATGGCGGTTAATACCAACTGCCCTCATCTGGTTTTCTGCTGATTCAGTACGGCCTCGATAATGGAGCCTTCCTATAATCATGTTTACTGAGGTGGAAGTTGAGCAGGGGCTTGTCCGCCGTCTGTTTTCATGAGTCAACTACATTTGAGAATATTCCTTCCAAAACCAAAGACCTTCTTGTCCTGGAAGGCAGGCTGGGTCATGCCCTGACTTCTAATTCTCTGGCCTTTTTTTTTTTTTTTTTAAAGATTTATTTATTTGCTCATACAGAACTGGGGTACAGGCCAGAGGTGCAGGGGTGGTAAGAGGATTCACCAGAGACAGAGTGGGGAGCAGAATAGGCAGACTGACGAAGTACACTGCTGAGGGGAGCAGCGGGCGGGTCAGGAGAGGTCTGCCGCGCCATGTGGGTCACCTTTGGGGCAGGCAGGGATCAAACTCATGCTGAAGTGGCTTTAGCTTCTTAGTGCTATGCTTTAATCCGCTGTACCACCCGGAAGGGCCCTCTCTGGACTTGTTTTAAAGTAGCAAAGTTTCCTATATCTTCAACTCTGGTCTAGTTTGGTCCTGTGGCTGCTAAGTTCTGTGGCTGGATAATAGCCCTCCTTCCCCTTGGCGTACCCCAGGCTCCTCTTTCTTCACTTTCTCCTGGCTGCCTTTGTCCTGCTTAAATTCTAGGTTCTATGCCTTCCCTCGTGTAATCACTCAAAATGTCATTTACCCAATTTCCTACATAATTATTTCTTCCATTGTATTTTCTTTGGGGAGAAAGGAGCTGAGGTTTCGCTCTGGATCTTTAAATATGCTTTTATCCTACAAAGCTAATACTACAAGCAAATACCCATAGTCTATTTTATTACTGTCAAGACCAAGTGTCTTGAAAATGTCCCGTGTCTGCTACTTCCGCTTCCCTCCACACCCCCGCTTCCCGCCTCACTTTGGCCTTCCTCTGCATCACCGACCCATGAGTTACTCCAAGTTTCCTACTCCCACAGGTCAGTGTTAAGCTCTCATTTTCATCCGTTTCATTCTGTACAACCTTAGCCCTTACTAATTAGTCTTTCCATAACTTACTGAATGACTCTCCTTGATGGGGAAAAGGTGTGGTTATCTTGGTTGTCTCACTTTGCTTTCTCTCTTGCTCAGTCTCTTTCCCTTCTCATTTCCCCCTTTTTTTTTTTTTAAGATTCATTTATTTATGAATACAGAACTGGGGTACAGGCCAGAGGCACAGGGGCCATGAAAGGATTCACCAAAGACAGAGTGGGGAGCAGAACAGGCAGATGGACAAGGTACACTGCTGAGGGAGCAGAGGGTGGGTCAGAGGTCTGCTGCACCATGTGGGTCACCTCCAGAGCCGGGATCGAACTCACACTGAAGCAGTTGTGGCTAGCTTGCAGTGCTGCATCCTAACCCATTGTGCCACCAGGTAGGGCCTCATTTCCCTTTTGGGGGAAGTTTGCTACATGTCTTACCATTCTCTTTCTCTGAATGTGTCCCCGCTTCAGCTGAAGACCCCCATCCCAGCAACTCTTTCATGATGGCGAGAGACTTAGAAAATCAAATGATTATCAGGGAGAGGAGCAGTTTTGCTTCTGAACGGTAATGTGGAGACCTTACCAGGTCTCTCTTCTCTGTCCCCACATCTGTCAGACTGGCTCCGGTGCCAGCTAAGGCTAGAAGCATCTCCCCAACCCCCTGTTGAGGGCTGATGCTAACTCCAAACCCACTCCTGCTGCCTCTAGCCATATGCCAGGCACTGTTCTAGGAGCTGGCGATTCTGCAGCAATTAAGTAAACGAGATTCCTGGCCTCACCAAGATTTCCTTTTAAGGAGGGAAAGGTGCTAATAAAGGCAGAGAATCAGTACAGATAGTGAGGGAGGCAGGTGTGGAAAAGTGCTGTGGACAAACAGGTTCTAAACCAAAGCAGGTTCCTTGCCAGCCGCAGCTGCCCTTCGGTAAGCACAGTTCTCCTTGGCCTCCAGACTGACCCAGGTTTTCTGGCTTCTTCACCATCTTCTGCATCCTGTTGGCTTCTAAACCCTTTGGTTTATTTCCAGCTACTTGCTCTTCTGATTCCCATGGACACCCAAGCTGGGAGGAGGACTGTGGGCAGTAGCATTAAGAAAGGCCTCTATCACCTTTTCCTCTTCATCCCCCACATCTGGTCCTTATTTCTCTATGTGTCACTCTTACGGTGATGCCTTTTTGCAATACTGGGTGCTAGTTGCACCAGCTGTGGAAAGCTGTAGGGCACTAGAGAAGGCAGCAGAGGCTGGGTTCTGACATTAGCCTGCCTATGAGGGCAGCCTGACCTACCTCATGAGACTGACAGGGAAGGTTCAGGCTCTCACTGGCACTTAGAAACCTCAGAATAACCAACATCATGTCTTTTCAAGTTCAGGTCAGGCAAGTAGAGCAATGGAAGCCTCACATCAAAGCAGTGTGTGTAGCTCCAGATAGGATAGTGAGATCCAGACAGGCAGGCCCCAGTAACCACGGTGTTCTTTACTTAGGTCATAGTATTTGTGGGCAGTTGGTGCCTGGTACAGGAAATCAGAAGAACCTAAACGAGAACCCCCATCTTTTT